TGTGTGTGTGTGTGTGTGCGTGTTATATGTGTTTGTGATTTGAGGTGTTCCTGCTAACTAATGTTGTGTGTGTTGCTTTTTTTTTTATATCACAGACAATCATCTGACATTGAATCGAGTGAAGTCTGGGAGCCAGTCAGCAAAAAGCCATATATTGAGGGACATGATGACAGCACCTCTGAAAAAAATCGTAAAAAAAAGGGCAGAGGTGTCTGTCAAGGTCACTGTCAGGAACTACTTCAAAAGGCTTCTGTAGACACCATGTTCTGCCTGTACAATTAGGTGAACAAAGAGTTACCGTCTGATCAAGTAGAAGACTTTTGAGTTAAATCACCTTTTCTGACCTGGAAAAATGTCCATCTTTTATTCCAGAGCTCGATTTGATTTTGAAATGCCCCAAAGCTCCTGTCAGCAGCTCTGGATCATACAATGTGGAGGTGTTTGATGTTTCGCTTTATCTGCCTGTGGCTAGTGTTTGATTTTTTTATTTTATTTTATTTTATTTTATTTTATTTTATTTTATTTTAATTTTATTTATTTGGATATTGTTTATTATTTATTTGGCTATTATTGATTGATTGATTGATTGATTGATTGATTGTTGAAACATTTTTACACTTAAAAATAATGAGTAAATTTTAAAGCAGATGTACCTGCGTTTGGTTGAACTGTCAGGGATTGTTTTAGTTGTGTCCAACTTACCCAACTTAGTTTTTGTTTAAGATTATTAACATTTATTTGAAATAAATAATAATTGTGATTTTTGAAACTGATCGGTATAATTTCTCCATTCACAAATATTTCGATTTATATTTTATATGTATATATTTATATGCTATAATATTTAAAATAATTATTTTATAAAAAAAAATAAAAATTGTTAGTATACTTGTTAGTCTAATACTAATCTCTTTTTTTGTGAAAGGAAAAAAAAAAACTTTAGCTGTTGGAGTTTAATTTAAGTATTTCCAACTCAAACAATCATAGATTATTAAAGGGTTAGTTCACCCAAAAATGAAAATTCTGTCATTAATTACTCACCCTCGTGTCGTTCCAAACCCGTAAGACCTTCGGAACACAAATTAAGATATTTTTGATGAATTCCGAGAGCTCTCTGACCCTGCATAGACAGCAAGGATCCTAACACGATCAAGGTCCAGAAACGTAGCAAGGACATCGTTAAAATAATCCATGTGACATCAGGGGTTCAACCGTAATTTTACGAAGCTACGAGAATACTTTCTGTGCGAAAAAAAAAACGACTTTATTCAACACTTCGTCTCCTCCGCATCACCCTGGTGCCATTTTGGAGAATATCCACTGAACGTAAATTGCATATGCTGTTTTGTGTCAGCTACGCCAAAAAGTATTTTGCGCACAAAATCCATTATGCAAACCTTTTTTCTGCTTTGTTTTGCTAATGTTGGTGGCTCCTGGTTGGAGAACATAATTTATGAATCATAACCCATCAAACTGGCTAGTGAGTTTATATATGTTACCCATCACGGTTATTTTTCACCCGCCACCCGAAATGAACCCCAGGTTTGCGGATGCTGATTTCAAACCCTGCCTGAAGCTCAACCGACTGCTGATTCATGATCTAATGTTTTAATGGACCACAATGGATTCAGATGCAGGTCCTGTTTCAAAAATTAGTGCAGAATTAGAGCTCTTGCTTCTATTAGCTCCAGATGGATTTACATTTCCTCCAGCTCAGCGTGAAATGGGAGAGATCAGGATGCGGGGATAGAGACACAAGGCCTGGCAAAGAGCTGCGGAGATAGGGAAAGGCGCTATGATGGAAGAAAAGAGGGCAGATATGAGTATTGTGATGGGGTTTAGAGATTGAGATAAAAGGGTAAAGGCCTAGTGTGTCACATATTGAGACAAATGGGCTAATCTGAGGGGTGGGATGTTGTGGAATACCAGCACAACCATAGTAGAAGGTAATTACTGTTTGTTGTGTGCCATAGAAATGGGCCGCAACCTCTCTTCGACAGCCGTTTGGAACCAGAATCCCTCCAGACTGCAGCAGGACACACTGCGCTAAAAATAGCCGTCTGAATAAGGCCTAGCATTAGCGGATAACTAGCCTCAACGTACCAGGCCTTGTCCTTGCTGCTGCTGCCGAAGGTTTTGTTGCTTGGCATTAAATCTGGGAGGAAAGTCTCAGCAAACTGATGATGGTTGGAGTTAATGAAGTCGTTAAATGTCCAATTAGCACGCGCTATGTATAGTCACCCGCGCTGTCTGTTTACGCAAACTCAGCTGATGTTGTGAGGAAATTGTTTGTGTATCCTCGGCTGCTGTTTCCTCTGATACAGATGTGATAATGTGTGTTGAGATGGCACTGGTTACCTGTATGCATGCTGGACAAAGCTGAGCTACAACTGCATTATGAAGTTGCATCATTTATTTTACATGATGCATTTGTTTACATTAGTTTACCTTTACATTTATGCGTTCAACAGACGTTTTATATTCATTCATTCATTTATTAATTCAATCATTCTTAAACTGACTTGCATTGCATTTGATCAGTTCATGCATTTTCTGGGAATCAAACTCATGACCCTGTCATTTCTAGCACCATAATCTAGTGTTTGATAAACAGTAATTTATTTATTTAGCTAGCTATCTAGTTAGTTAGTTTATTTATTTATTTTAGTGTTTTACTTTTTTTAACGTTTTTTTTTTTTTTTGTATTGTGAAATAATTTATTTTAATTAAAAATGTAATGATTTAAATAATTATTCGCTTTTCATTAATTCACGAACCTAATAAGTTAGAGTTCAGTCAAACTATTTTAGTTGGACTTTTACAGCACATGTAAACACACTCAGTGGTTCTCCTAGGCCCAGTTTATGCCTGGTATCACATCTCAAGTGGTCAGGAGAGACAGATCGCTGTTTATGCATCTCAAGTGCATCTTCTGTGACCACTTGTGATCAGATTTCAATAGGAGCCACTTACAGTGTCAGTGCTCCCTGGGAATCGATCCCATGACCTCAGTGTTGCTTGCATCATGTTATGCTTTTTAGCTTCATGCATGTTTCATGAAAGTTTTGTTGTGTTTTTACATGAAAAATGCATGAATTTTACATTTTAATTTGTCTGTAATTTTGAATAATTAACATTAATATAAGTGGCCTTAACTACTATGTACTTACATTTAAATTTATAATTTGGTACAATGCACTTATTGTGTACATACATGTTTTT